GAGACGGCGTGTATTCACGCTGATTATGGTCTTTCGGCCTTAGGCAGCTTCTTTCTCTCACTATCCCGCGCTTCTAAGGGCTGTCCGCAACGTGCTGCTTGATTAAATCTATTACAGAATCCGTTGACAGCAGAGTGAGAGCAACGCAGTATTGCTCATGTCGACTGGGAAATTCACGAGAAGGATACTGTCACAAGAGCGAGTCTGCCCCTTGAGACCAAATGAACAACGTTCAATATTCACCCCACAATGTACTATAATACATGTGGCTGACATGGGTTATGCTCACCAAAAGAACGCTAGAAAGGGGTTGACCACCAGCTCCAAACATTTTTTCTTTTGGTGGTCAGGCACAAACAAATGACATGTGGCTGTGGGTCAAACATAAGTACCCCAAATTGGAACCCTTGTAAATGGAAAGAAGGCATACCCAGTCAGGCACAAACAAACGACATGTCATTGCCCACAGCAATGATTCAATATTGACGTTGCATGATTGTTTGGGCTTCAACACCAGCTATGTCCTCTCTCTACGCATGCGTGGAGAAAATTGCCCCTCCCAGAGCATTGTTGCCGGTCAAGTGCACTCGTTGGCAATGCTGCAGGAACAAGCGCAGTATTCAGACGGTGTATTGTCTTTTTTTGATGTAGTACGACTGCAGTGCTGTGTGGGTAGTCGTGAGAAGCCAGATTCCTGACTATCAGAGACTCCCATGCTCACATGAAAGCGGCGATATTTCACAATCTACGACTATCACTTTCGTCAGCCCAGGAGAAGCAGCAGAACAAAAACAAACACGACTGGAGCGACTGCAGATCCTCAACCACATACATGTTGATTGCAGCACTCCACCCCAGGATGCTGTAACATAAGCAAACGGTAAAGCGAACAAACACATGACCTCACCTTTTTCCCGTGGCGCGTTTTTTTTTTTTTTTTTTTTTTTTTTTAAACAAAAAAAAGCACATCCTTTCGGCTGTGCCGCTTTGTCTCAGTCGCTTTCGTAGGCGGACGTGGTGTCCTTCAACGTTTTGCTGGGCGCCTTGGCGGATGCCGCCCAGTGGCGCCGGGCCGTGGCCCTGCTGCAGGCCATGCCAGAAGAACAGGCGGGACCCGGCAGGCGACCTTGTCAGGTTCCTTGCGTGCCCATTTTGTGGTGACAAAAGTATGGTCAAGAAGGGTGACATCTCGCGGGAATGTAGAGGAGATGTGCGTTTCAATCATTTCGTTTTGTCTGAAAACTGATCTAGGGCGAGCGGAGCTTGGATAAGTACACTCACAAGGCAATAATTTGCTTCTATCGGTGCTTTCCACGTCTTCGGGCTTTGCACCTCTCTAGCCCATGTTTGCCCTTTGCTGCAGGATTTGCATGGTATCCTTTTTTTTCCATCTCACTGTACCAATCCTTTCTTGTCGCCTCAGAGCTGGCCTTTGCCCGACGTTGCTGGTTGGCTTGTGCCCGTCAGGGAATGCAATGCCTTATGATTGGACTAGAGCGCCTTTAAAGGAGCGGTGGCCATCCACAGCGAGGCATGCAAGTTTCCTGTATTTATCACTATTACTCTCACACGCGGAGCTTGGTGGCGGGAAGGTCAGCACATTCCCGCTACTCCCAAAGGCCCAGGTCTCGATGTATCTAATTGTGGAAATTGTGTGGCTTTGTTCAATGCTTGGCCACATGCAGTGCCAGACTGTTCTGGAGGTCGGCATGAAATTTGCAACAGAGGCAAACAGACTGTGATCGCCTTCTTTCAGGTCGGCTATATGATTTTCAGTGATTTTTTAAGCGTTTCACCTCGCCGATGGAGCCAAGGACACCCCCTCATCCTCATTTCTGCCTGAAAGCTGAACCGAAAGGATTTGCGGAGAGGCTTGCACCACCCCAAGCCCCACCTCTACCCCCCTCATCTTGTAGTGCCACCATCCCTTCACCTCAATACTCCCTATCGTAGGGGTTTCCATCCCGCGTTGAGCGCAGGTTTTGCCCAGCACCGTCAGCTTCGCCTGTGCCATGAGCGCCTGCGCCAAGGGCCAAAGGGCCGAGCCAAAAAGTGCGAGGGGCCGAGGAGCTGGCCATGGTATTTTGTAGAAGGAAACCAGCGAAGCTGGAGGAGGGGGGGGAAGTATCGGTCACCCAACTCAACTTGAAGAGTCTTATACGCATGCTGCAACTGTCCAATCATTTTGCTGTAGTGAGAATATTCATTCGGTGAAGTCACCAGGCCAACAAGAGGAGTGAAAGCAGGGTACTTGACAGGCAGAGCGCGTGCTCCGTCCCAAAAGCTGATCAGTATCACACCCGTTCCAAAGAGCAGCCTCCCAGAGCAACAACCAACTGCGAGACGACAGCGACGCCGCTGATGCTCCAACGCATACTCAGAAAGGGGTTCTGAAAATAGAGGTAGTCCCCTACTAAAATTGGTTGATTTCCTTTTGGCGATCTTCAAGTGCCAACGAAAACGGGGGTCTGTTGTGCCAGTTGAACTGTCCGTATGCCAGGGGCAAAGAACCTCATCACCCAGATGCTGACCTATGACCCCTTCATTCGGCCAACTGCCGAGGTAGGAGGAATGGGAGTTCATGATAGGCGTGCATGTAAGGGGGGCAGTGCCTGCGAATTCATGGCGGGGCGCTTCGGGTTTCGCAATGCTTGGCGGTTCAGCTTGGTGAATGCCTGACATGTTTCATGTCATATCGTTCTGGCGGAGCGCTGTCATGTGTAGAGTCACACCAGTAAAAGCTTTTGTTTGTCCTGATGGGTGCCACTAGTTTTGACTTGATCACGAATTGCAAAATTTGTAAAATGGCAAACGCGACTGCTAGTTGCCATGTTCATCGTGTGCTCCGTTGTGAACAGGGGATTCCACTTTGTGGACGCCTTTGGGACATTTTTCGTATGGAATGTGATTTGGGTCATGTGGTCTGGTGTAAGCTCTTCAGTGCCTTTTGAGATGCGCGCTACTTGTGGTTTACTCAGCTTTTGGGCTGACCATCTACCCAGCTGGAGTCACATTGTCGACAACAAGTCGAATGCTGCACAAGACGAGCAGATACATCTCTTGTCCTTGATTCATTGCTTTCAAGGGGCGCTCGCCAACACATTAGTTTATTTGTGGCCAATTCGCCTTCGGATCGTCAAGCTTTGGCGAAATGTGGTCAACCGACTTAGGGTTGCTCTCTCTCTTTGAGCCGCCCTTAAGTGAGGATCCCAGCTGCGAGATCCGAAAGACTTCAGGTGGTGCTGCTGAGCCCCTGGCTGAAGTTCAAGGCGACGGCGAGGGCAAGGTGCCAAATCATCATGACTATGAGGTGAGGCACTTATCGGAATAAAGTCATGCTTTCAGGCGTTTCAGGCGGAGATTACTTGCCTTATGCCATATGTTTTTTTGATATCCGAACGGTTGAATCATTGGAAATCACCGACTTCGTTGGACCCAGCTTTGTCACCGTTAGCCCATGACTCGCATCTATCTCCTTGCCAGCTTGCCAGGGCACGCCAAAATCAGCGCCCCTGCCCAAGGACTTTGTCACAAGGCACAGAGCTTAGGGGCTGGTGATTGCTCAGTGCCAGTGGCGAGATGAGGATAAGTATTGGAAACACTGGCCATTTGCAGACTTAGCTTATCTTGTCCAACTCAGAAGTGATCTACTACGATTGGCAAGCTTTTCTTTGGCTTACTTGAACTAGTATTGGGAATCTTCTATGATCCAACTTGGATCTGAGAGTACGGCTCTGAAGGCTGTCGGGCTTTCGTGCCTTCTCAAAGCTCAAGAAGGCTGGGACAATGGGACAAAAGTTGAGTCGCATATCCGTAGCCCGGGACATATACGATTTTGGTCGCAACAAGCCGCCCCGCCCACGTGGTTGGTTCTGTCCCAGTTTTTGCCCTTTGGGCTATCATGGATCATTCATCAAGTCCAGTTCACCCCTGAGATAAAAACCAGCAAGCGACAGCTGACACAGATGCAAAGGAAGCTTCCTAAGAATTGCTTTTTGAACTCCTGTGATTCACCGCCGTGGTTTCAGATGTCAGGTGGCGCTCACGGCCCTGGCACAGCAGCTGCCAGATGCCCGGCGGCCCAGTTGCCGCTTAGTTCGGCAAGGAAATGCATGAGGGCCCTCAGGTTCCGTTGATTGGTTTCTGCACCCTTTTGATTGTGCTACTCAAGTTGTGTTGGTTTGGACATGCAGAGACCACCCCGTTTCCTAAGCAATAGTGTGCGAGCCTCACATGGACATGAGCAGCAACCTTTCCCATAGAATCGGAGATGACATGCCCCTAGATCAGTCTTGGAGCGAAAACGCAAGTGGTGATGAATCATGCAGCGTTACTTTCTCCTCCCTCGAAAGTTGCAGCTTTTCCTCAAGGGAGCCATAGGCAGTGCTCAGTTGAACCTCTGTGATCAATCATTTTGAGCAGCGTCATGAGCAGCGTCATGTGCACGGTCTCATTCCAACTAACCTTGCGAGACGAAGTTGCACTGCAGCTGCCCAGTTTATGCCTGGGGGCTAGAATAAGCTCGCCCATGATCTTGTGCTCATATGTGGTGTGGGTTCCTTGATTCATCATATTTTGATTGCAAGGATCCAGCTTTGCCTGGGATGGAGCCTCATAGAGCTATGGCATCGACAGCACATCTCATTGGAGATTGCAAGCTTTAACCCTGCTGTTGACTTTGGGCTTTGATTTCTTAGAAAACTGCTCGCGGCCAGAATCTTCGGCGGTTGAGGTGCAACAGCCAGAAGACATGGCACACCCACAGTGCCCGAAGCCATCAAGCGGCTTTGGCGCTCCCGAACAGCTATAACAAGTGCCTAGTGCTTGTAGGGCATGGGGTCGCCAGATGGTGGGTTCTTGCCTCATTGCCGGTTGGAGGATTACCAGAGGCGTGGCTTTTATCCGGGAATCATTCCACATCCTCCAGGGAGTGCCCAAACCAGTTGACCGTAGGAGAAGATCGACTCCTTACAGCAGACCTTCCGGGCCTTGGACAGGCAGAGAGTGATGCGTTGTCCCAGCCAAACTTCGACCTGTGATAAAGAGGAGTCACACGAGGTGTCTGTAAGCATATTAGAGCACCAGGCGCTGTTTTCTTGTGCAGCATCCACCCGCCGCGACGAACCCAACAACATCCTAGTAGGCTGTAGACCCATCTCATGTAGCGCTGCCCTTCCACAAACTAGTCTTGCACAATCTCGGTGGGGTGGACTGCACAATGAACACTACCTTTACCGTTGGATGTTGTCATTGCTCCACAGCTTGTCAATTGCATTTCACTCGTGGCGTTGTGCCACATCCACACTTCCTCGCACTATTAATTAAGTATATATATATTAACACAGCACATCAGGCTGCCGATATTTGGACACTCAGTTTGAAAGCAGATGTACTACTGAACAGCTTGACTTGAAACTTAGCATGGGAGCAGGGTGAAATGCCGTGGTCTAATTATTTGCGCATGACTTATCCGCAGGCATACCGCGTGGGAGGGAGGGGTGCTTGGCATGAAGTGGCAACGTAGGAACGGTGACGGGACCCTCTCTGTGGAGGAGATCCGAGCCGGGGGGCACAGGGTCTTGTGACAAAGAAGGTCAGCGTGTGCGAGGGGTAGGCAGCCACTGGCTTTCGGAAGAACTACCTGTCATGAGTGAGACTTGCCGTGATGGTTGGCTATGATTTCAGCAGAAGAGGCAGACGAGAATCGCGGGCAGAAGACACAGTTCCATGCAGGAGGTGTAACATCTTACGGGAGGAACGGTGGAACAGTGTTTCAAGCCACAACCATCCAACCTATTCTTCAGTACCGGATGCAGAGCTATCAACATTTGACCACTTGCTGCAGATTAGCCTACCCCTCTTCACCCGCATTGTGCTTGTAGAAATCTCTTGCGCATACCCCTTTCATTTGTTGCAGATTATTCCAAGAAAACACTTAGGACTTGGAAGGCGCCTCTTGTATTAATCAACCGGAAGCACTTTGTGAAGATTCCAAGGAAGGAGACCTTTAGCCTTCACCAATGCATCATCTGACCAGCCCGCGTCTGCCCTTGGATCTTGTTCGCCGTTCGCAGCTACTCAAAGCCTCACCTGTCTGCACTCGATGTGCACTCGGTTCGATCAGTGGCTCGCTGCCTTCGCTTTCGGCGCGACATGCGCCACCCAGGAAGCCGTGGTCCAACAGGGCCTGAAGCCACCCAAGGCGCTGGAGGAGAGTTGAAGCGCGACCCAGTTGGCCGACTCCTTCAGAACTTTGGGACGTTTCACTTGTGTCCCCTGTTGAAAGTCAAAGGAGAAACCCAGGTCATGGGGATCCTTCGTGAATGTCATGGCCATTGTCCAATCCCGATTCCCCATGTTGAGCGGTGCTTGAACATCAAAACAGATAAGTGAGGCACAGACCTGTAGGATGATTGGGAACTCCACAAAATCCAGTTGCTCCAGACCCAATGCACACGTGTCTAGCCTCAGGGGCGATACGAATTGCCTCTTGTTGTTGATGGTTGTGAGCATGAAAGTCGTCAGCGAGTGACACATTGATCAAAGGCAGGATGTGGGGTCCAAGAGCCCAATGACTCCGTTGCGGAGGACATTTTGCATGCCATCGACTGCAATGGCGCACGCCCCGGCAATGGAGTCTGGACGAGAGAAGGGAGAGAAAGCCTATCTCAGAGAACTAAAGAAACGCGAAGAACGTAGCTCTTGAGGATGGATGAACACAAATCACTTCTCCATTCATGTGACAGCCAGCCACCGTGAAACGCCTGAAATGCTGCCCTAATGCCAGCTCTCAGTCTGTGAAGAAGCCCATTAGGCTTCCTTGATCTTGCATTTTGGGATCAATGTCTAAGATGTTAAGATGTTATAATTTCCAGCCTCTTCACATCTAAGTGCCAAGATGTAGGATTGGTGAGGACACGTATATATCAAATATCCTGAAGTTGCAACAGATGCTGGCGCTTGCTTTGTGCAAAGTAACTTTCGACACGGCGCATGGCAGGACATCACATCTTACAGACTCACAAGTACTAAGAGCTTTTTGAATCTTGTTTATCCTGTTGCACACGTGAACCCATCTATTTGTCTACCCGGGTTGCCAGCTAAAGCTTGTACACCGCGTCCAGGCTCCGGCAGCTTGGACTACACTGAGTTCTTGGCTGCGACTTTGGACCAGAAGGTCTACATGCAGCGGGACCAAGGGGCCGAACCGCCGGAAGTTGGGTCAAGGCTTGGTTGACATCAACAGGGGTCCCAACGAGCGCATCAGGGTCTAGCCCTTTTTAGGCGGTATTGGCTGCTATTGGGGATCTTTTTGCAGCTGTAGGATGACGGTCCTGAGGGTCCTTATGACCCATGACCCATTCAATTTGGAGGCAATGCCCCTCCCGGAAGCCTCAATATCAGCAGGACGATTGTTCACGAAAGAGCCTGACACTACTCAGTGAATTGTTGGAGGATATTGCTCGGACACGTAGTATGTCTATCTGTTAGGAGCTTTCCATGCTAGCACGATTCTCAGCAAGTCAGGCTTCGGTGAAAACGGGTTTCTGTGCATGTCGGCTGTTGATTTTGTGATCCTATCAGTATATAAGGAACCGCAGAGCTGCCTGGCAGTGAGGCGGATCGCAAGGCAGATATTTTCAGTGGCACCGGCCTGACTTAGCATCGCAAGCATTTGCCGAGGCAGCGGTGCTGCGTACAGAATGATACTTGGAGCCTTCCTGTGCCACGCGGCGCCCACGCTCAAACTTCCTTGGATTCCCCTTTCGACTCTCAGCAGGACGTTTGCTGGGCCGCCTTCCGCATTTTCGATTTGGATGGCGATGGTAAGATCACGCGCGAGGACCTACAGGGCGGGGGTTACTGAAAATAACGGAGGAGGGAAAGGGACCAACCTGCATCGTGATGTTTGAGTCATGATGCAAACTCGGTTCGCGACATGTCGGTGGTAGCAAAGATCTGTTCTAGTCTCCACGCAGAGCAAGTGATCGGCAGTGGATACTTTGCCTTTATTCTCGCCATTTCGCAGAAAGGCTAAGGCACCAAATCTCTGAGACAGAACGGCCAAGTCAGACATCATTTGCCCGTTGTGAATCCCAGGATGCATCCCGAGTCATCAACGTAATCCTTCTGTCGAATGTTCAACCGGGAGACCTGACTAACCCTTCCAGCAACATTAGGAGGGTTTGCCAAAAGGATAGGTCCTGACAGGGAAGTGCAGTGAGAAAGAGAGCCGTCTCAGGAGCTTGCCAAGGCCGGTTGCTGACGGTCAGTGTGTCTCGTGACTTTTGTAGCCAATCTCAAGTTGGGGTTCAAATTCGTGCCCCATTCACAGCAGCTTACTTTTCTGATTGTTCTTGGCCGACTACAAATGACTACAAACAGCCCAGCTGGCAAGTGCTAGACTCTCCCAATGGTATCCTTGATACTGCCACTTGGTCATTTGTTGATGGAGGACTTGAACGCCCAGCCACAGGGGCATGGACCCGACACCCTCCCTTGGCTGGTTGCAAATGCCGGGGTTTGTGATGAAATGTTCGATGATTTGTGATGATTGTGTAATGATGTGTGATGATGTGTGATTTGTCATGGTGTGAGATGATTGTGTTTGTTCAGATTTTTCCACTTGCCTTTTGTGCATAGGTCCTGAACGGCGACTCGGTGCAGGAGCTCTTTGGTTCGCGCCAGGGCACACAGCATATGCGCGCTGTGCTTGTGCTCCAGCTTATGTGGTTCTGCTGTTCGCAAGTTAATATCTCGGCCTCATCTTCTTCTGTAGTGCCCGCCATTGCCAATAAGCCTGACAGCACAGCGGCACATGCGTGTGTGCCTGATTCCACGTTTGCGGGCTTCTGACTTGCCCGAGGCAAGATCGAAAAGATCATCGAAGAGGTGGACAAGGCGGGAAGTTGTAAGTCTTCTTGAGCAGGTCAATCCACGGCATGGCAGTCGACTGTTGACGGCTTCTGGCAAAAGCCATGGCAGACTTCATAGTTTCTGTTTAATTACTAGTAATGGTAATCGTAGCAGAATAATTAGGCACATGATCAATATGCATCAGGGTTGTTTGATGCCTGTTTTGTTCTTAGTTTGTACAAGTAGAAGCTGTATCCTCGTCTATGAGACTTCAGAGGAGAGCTGTTCAGATTTCAGTACTAGGCACAACTCTGATCACACAGCTACACGCACTCGCGCACCGCACATGCACGTCACGCGCACACGCGGACGTACAACCCCATGCACGCTCACCCGCAGGCGCGCACGGACACCCACACCCACCCACACACACATATGGACACACAGAGAGACACAAGAAGAGACACACACACACACACACCGACGTGCACGCACTCCCATGCACACGCACACACAGAGACACACACACACACACTCAACACCCCTCTCTCACACACACACACCCACCCGCGCACGCACGCACCTACCCACCCACCCACGCACGCACCCACGCACGTACCCACGCACGTACCCACGCACGCACCACGCTGACATACGCACGCACACACACTCGCACACACTTACCCCACCCACCCACCCCCTGCCCCCACACACACACACACACTCACACACGCACACACACAGACACACTCACAGACACACAGACACACAGACACACAGACACACAGACACACAGACACACAGACACACAGACACACAGACACACGGACACAGACACAGACACAGACACACACACACAGACACACACACAGACACACACACACACAGACACACACACACACACAGACACACACGCAGACACACACACACAGACACACACACAGACACACACACAGACACACAGACACAGACACACAGACACACAGACACACACACAGACACACAGACACACAGACACACAGACACACAGACACACAGACACACAGACACACAGACACACAGACACAAAGACACGCAGACACACAGACACACAGACACACAGACACACAGACACACAGACACACAGACACACAGACACACAGACACACAGACACACAGACACACAGACACACAGACACACAGAGACACAGAGACACAGAGACACAGACGCAGACACAGACACAGACACAGACACACGCACACGCACGCACGCACGCACGCACGCGCGCACGCACCCACGCACACACGCACGCACGCACCCACCCACACACACACACACACACCCACACACCCACACACCCACACACCCACACACCCACACACCCACACACACACACACACACACACACCCACACACCCACACACCCACAC